TTACCAGCAAATGCGGTATCAGAATTTAATTCGAGAATGACTAACAAAAGTATTTTGACTAAAAAGAAGGGGAGACCAATAAATCTAGAAAAAAAATGATAAAAAGATGATAAGTATGGAGTAAGTATTTTTAATCAACTTCATCTACCTATCTTCAAAGATGAAAATTATCAATTTTAGACAGTTAAAATAAGAACTTTATTTATTTCACAAAGATTATAAAATTTGGTAGAAAATAATTTTGTTAAGTATGATATATAGTATGATCTACAAACTAAAGTTTAAAATATGAATTTTATTTATTTCACAAGGATTATAAAATTTGGTAGAAAATAATTTTGTTAAGTATGATATATAGTATCTTAAAATTACTAAAGATCAAAAATATCAAATGAATGAGAACATATATAAAGATGTAAGAGCACTTTACTCGCTAGAATAAGCAATAGATGAATCTCTATTTCCCTGAATCATGTTGGCATCAACATAAATAAAAGTATAAAAAATATTTAAAAGTGTGTTTCCAGGTACAAACAAGGTAAAAACTTTAAAGCTTTAAATTAAATTTGAAACTCTTATGCTGAAATATTCTAAATCTATCATTTATTTTTTTTATAAAAGTCTTTTTTATTACGAACGAAATGAGATCTTTTGGTAAAAATCTAAAAGTTCAAATAGTAGTATAAAAAGTTTCATACCATTTATCTTCAAAATTTGATATGATTTCTATTATTATAGAAGAAGCTAATAAAATTAATGAATTAATAGGCTCATTTTTAATTCATAAATAAAAAAATAAATAGATTTTCAAATAAAACTTCAAAACATGCTTTTCAAATAAAGATAGAGGATGATTAAACGAGAGTCAAAAGAACACCAAATATTTTTATTACAAAAAAATTAGACATATTAAAAAAGATTATTGGTATAAAAAATAAAAATCCAAATATTTCTCTCCGCTTTCATTGTAAAAAATATAGTTATCTTAAAAAAGATTATTGGAACAAAAATAAATAAATTATCATGAAGAAAATAATAGGAAAAAAAAGATAACAATTTTTTTTTATGACATATGATGAAAAAGAGTATTCTATACTTTGATTTTTGGATAATGGATATAATAATCATATGACAGAAGATAAAAGTTTATTTCAAAGACTTGATAATCTAAGTAGATTTACTGATAAGAAATAATAGTAAAATTTAGGTGAAAGGAAAAAGGAACAATTATTTGAACCAGTAAAGAAATTTATTGATAATGTGATTATTATTCCTATTTAAAATAAAATCTCGGACAATTGATAAGAAAAGAATATTATGCTATTTTTTATGATAAAAAATATTTGATTCATAAAAAAATAAAAAAAAAATGATAACAATTGTGATGATGGAAAAAAAATAAAATGTTTCCTTTATTATTTTCACATTTCTCCTTACATGCATTCATTATTATTATTATTATTAATGAATTGATATTATAATATAAAAGATATGATCATTTGAGTTATGGTAGACTAGAACTTTTAAATCAAAAGAATATGATAGTTGGTTTGCCTAAAATAAAAAATAAAGATATTATTTATGAATTTTATGTTTTTAAAAAATAACACAGAAATATTTTTTGGATAGATTATTCTTGGAGAGCCAAAGATTAAACTTATGTATATAGATATTTATGGGTCTATGCATATTGTTTCACAAGATGAAAATAAATATATATAAAAGCCTAAGGTATGAAATTTTTTATTGTTTGTTTGTATATGGATGATGTGATTTTATTGAAAATTCATCAAACATGCTTATTGAATTTAAGAAAAATATGATGTTAGAATTTCAAATGACTGATGTAGGGCTTTTACATTATTTTTTTGAAATGAAAATTATTCAAGATATAAATATTTTTTTTTAGTTAAGAAAAATATGCTAAAAAATTATTAAAAATGTTTCATATGATAGCTTGTAAGTCAGTGAATATTCTAATAAGTATAAATGATAAACTTATGTTAGATGACATAGTTAAAAAAAAAAGATGAGAAATGGTATAGAAGTCTAATTTGAGGGTTAATTTATCACACATATTCAAGGTCAAATATCATATTTGTGGTTAGTTTATTATTCAGATTTATGCATAGCCTTAGCAAGTATTATTTTGGAGCAGTTAAAAGAGTTCTTAGTTACGTCAAGAGAACTCTTAATTATGACATCCGTTGTGAGCAAGTAAATGATTTTAAGTTATATTTTTATACTAATAGTAATTAGACTGGTTGTGCAGACAAAAAAAAATAATTTAGGATTTATGCTTAGTCTTAATTCAAGGGTGATTCTATGGATAACAAACGAAGTAAGAATGTATTACTATCTTGAACTTTGAGGTGAAGTGCTATGACTATAAGTACAGCAAATCAAATAATTTGGCTTCTAAAAATTCTTATAGGGCTAGAAAAAAAAAAAAAGATGAACTGACTAAAATCTACCACAATAATAAGTCTACTATTATTACAATGATGAACAATTATTCCTAATATAAATATATATTCTTACATCAACCCAACACACTACAGATAATTCTCATTCCTTCTATTATTTTCCTAGAGTTTTGCAGAAAGCTAACATCCCTGTTGAATTCACCACTTAAACTGAAGAATGTGTTACATCATTTCCTTTCCCTTTCGTTTATGGTCCACTTCTATTATGGCATCTCAGAGTTAAATCGGCACTGTGTATATGCTATTGCTGCTTTCAACCCGAAATGACTTAAGACACCGATTGTTTGTCGCCTGTGCTTAAAATAATGAAGAAAATGACCAGAAGAAATGTGAGTGGGTTAAACATAGGGACAACGTTGTCTTGTTCTCGAATTCACATAGGGAATTACATAGCTGTTCTCGAATTGGCAGTGATAACCTGACCCACAGATCGAATCTGTATTGCAAGTTAACACCGATCAATTGGGACTTTCATTTAGCTCAGTCCTTTACAGCGTTTAGTACTTACTCCGTCAGTCATCTGCTGTAATTGTATTTGTTCTCGAAATTTATCATTACTTCTCTCTTATCTTATATCATACTTATAAAAGGAGGTGAAGCCATTCTAAAGGAAGGATTGGACGTCACACCAACTACGATTTTGAAGGAAATAAAACATAAAGCAAAAAGAAATGTCTTCGATAATAGCCAAGTGATTGCATGTACTTATTCCTATTATTATTGTTTGGGGACTTCAAGCTGTAATATGTATTGTTTTGTGTTTTCTTCCTTTCTTATATCATGCAAAGTTGATCATATCATTCAGTACTTTTATTGATTTGGACCCTTGGATGGATCACATTCCATGATTCCCAAATGCCTACAAAACAACACCCACATAATTGCACACTGTCGTTGTGTTGTTACCGGGGGCGAATGCTTATTGACAGCGTCGATAGCGATACGGACCTTCGCATCGACATTAAAGAATACTACGTTTTGTAAGCTTACTTTTCGCCATTACTTCTTTACAGCTTTATTCCATCAGGTAACTCCACGATATGAGCTCGGTTGGATTTCTAATTTATCTTCGTATTAATCCACGTATGACATAAGTTAGATCATTACACTTTAGAGATCAGACCAAATGATTTGGCGATGACTCATAACAAGTTATATCAGTACTGATTGGGCACTTCAATATAGGCAGTTCTTCTGCCACTTCATCGTCGACTCGGCACCTAAATCAAACACTCAGTCGGTCTAACTTCTCCTCACTCGCAAAAATCATATTTTCTTCACAATTCTAACTTAATCATCAGAAGAGTGATCGTCAAACATACGTTGATATGATTTTATAGATAACCTATCTGAACTCACTTGATGCTACAGCCAAATGCTGCATTATTGTTGATGTATGACATGGCCAATGAGTGGACCCCGTTGGTGACAAAAGCGAGCACATCAAGGGATGGGGGAACACCGGGAAGTCTCCCTCCAGTTCATTGGATGAAAATATGCCTTGGTCTGTGGCTACTGTATGTTCCGTGCTTCAATTGGAGGAGACCTCGTGGCACTGACGACGACCGACGATGGCTGTGCCGCAGTGGAGTAGGAGGATGATGGCTGCCATTGGGAGGAAGACAACGACTGGAAGGAGAGAACCAATAATTGAGAAGGGGGGAGTCATTAATTCACGTCTGGACCTCTTCGTACGGCTCCAAAAATGTCGTAAGAGTGTGGGGGCTGTTTGAGGTGCCTCTGCCTGACTCTTTATTGGACAGGTAATATATAATGACTTCGTAAGAGTTACGGTAAAATTATATATATATATATATATATATATATATATATATATATATATATATATATATATATATATATATATATATATATATATATATATATATATACAGAGACACACTTTAAAAACTCTCTTTAGATATATATATATGTGTTGTCTATATATCTAAATAAGATGGTGACGTATCATACAGTATGCGAGTGTTTTTTTTATTTTTTTTTTTATATATATATATATATATATATAT